CCAATAGACATGACGCGATATTTTACGTCGCAAGGCTTTGGTCAAAGACGAGCTCATTTCAGCTGCCAGAAGAGCACCTGAAAGCTCCAAACGAGGAATTGTAATAGGGCTGGATGCTGGGGCAACGCGAGATTTCGCACATAAAAGTTGGACATGTATTTGTCCTTCTTTATTTGTAGAGCGAAGGTACAAGCATGCACCATAGGCGCGTTGCGATGCATCGCAAAAACAGTGGATTTCAGCAGAGACTGGATATTCTATTGATACCCATCTAGGTATATTTAGTGAAAAAAGGCATTTAAGTCCATCAACAAAAGGTCTCCAGACATCGACAATATCCTTTGGAGCGGGCTCATCCCAGTCCAATTTGAGAGACCATAAGGTCTGAATTAAAATTTTGGGAACGATAGTGGACAAGGATAGGAGGCCCAAGGGATCGAAGATCTTGAAAGTTGAAGAAAGTATAGTGCGCTTGGTGACGACGTCAGACTGATCCACTGTAATGGGAAAATTAATGCTGTCGGTCGAAGGACTCCAATCTAGGCCCAGCGTATTTGTAGACTGACTCAATGTCAGGTTGCCGGATGACTGGACAACGTCTGAAGGCAGTAAAGAAGGTAAGTTGGATCGGTACTTACGCAAGTCAAAACCAGCCATAGAAAGAGCCACATGTGTTGATTTCTGTATAGACCGTAATTGATCTTCATCATCGCTAGAAGTTAGTAAGTCATCAACATATATGTCCTCCTGTATGACTGCCTTAATAACGTCATCGTCACACTCCTCGCCCACTTGCCAGAGGCACCTGGTGGCAAGGAAACTAGCGCTAGCAAATCCGTAGGTAACCGTGTTAAGCCTGAGTGTTTGTAATGGTTTGTCCTCCGCATCACGCCATAAAATCAGCTGTAGGTTTCGGTCAGACTCATCTATTAAAACCTGCCGGTACATTTTTTCAATATCCGCTGACAACACATAACGATATTGCCGGAACCGGATGAGGATATTGAAAAGAGAGTCTTGAACTGTAGGGCCTATCATTTGAATGTCGTTTATAGACAAACCAGATGAAGTGCGAGCTGATGCGTCAAAAACGACGCGTAGACGTGTTGACTCACTGTCTTCACGAATGACAGGATGATGCGGAACAAAATAGGCAAGCTCAGGTCGGTCTACCTCAGATATTGCTAGATGTCCTAGTTTGCGATACTCCTCAATGAAATCAACATAGGCGGACTTAAGTTCCGGTTGCTTGCGAAAGCGACGTTCCAGGTTTATAAATCGCCGCCTGGCTATGAAATAGGAAGTGCCTAGGCAGTCTGGTTTATCGATGAATGGCAGCTTGACACAAAAACGACCTTCTTCAGTGCGTTTTGTGTGCTGTAAAAAATGTTGTTCGCAAGCTTTCTCTTGGTCTGTAAGAAGGGGCCTTTGTGGCAAGCTTTCAAGCTCCCAAAACCTCTTCAAATCATTGTGAAGCTCAACTAAAGTATTGTTGCTTTCAATACTTACAAAATTACATTTCACTGGGGAATTTAAATTGAGATTGTCATTTTGAATATAGTGCATGGGACCTGCGATAAGCCATCCTAATTTAGACTCATGTAGAATAGGATTTCCTTTGCCTAAAGAGTGCTGTTTGGTTCCAATAATGGACCAAAATAGGTCAGCACCGATGAGCAGTCCTATGTCAGACGGCTCATAAAATCTGGGGTCTGCTAATGCAAAGGACTTCAGGTTAAGGTGTGTAATAGACACAAGAGACTTAGGTATCTTACCTGATATTTGGGGTATGACTAAACATGACGTCATAACGCTGAAAGAACCTACCTTTGAATGAATTCGAACATTGCAACGTTCAGCATTAAGCTTGACAATAGTGTTACATATGCCGACCACATTCCTAACATCAGACGTGGAAGAAGTTAAATTTAACTTTGATTTAAGTGATTCTGTAATAAAGCTAGACTGACTACCGTTGTCTAAGAGAGCTTTAGTGGTAATGTAATTGATTGTTTTGGGATTAAAAATATCAACCAAAGCCGTACATAGTAGTGTCTCAGAAGCAGAAACAGCTGACATTGAAACTGGCTCAGAGACTGCAACATTAGTGACTGCCACATTGGTATCAGAATCCGTAGGTTTGTGTAAAAAGGTATTGTGACGTTTTTTGCATATCTTGCACGTACCTGGAAGCTTGCATGCGCGCGTATTATGCCCTTTGCGCAAACAGTTGGGACACAACTTTAGCTCGGACACTAATGAAAGTCTATCATCAATAGATTTCGATTGAAATTGTGAGCACTCATAATTACGATGACCTACACCACAGAAAATACACTTGTGAGGGGCAGTTGCTGATGAGTCGCCCTGCTCAGCGCTAACGAATGACTTAGTATGAGAAACGGGATTTTGTTTGACGCCTTGATTGTGATTCGGGTTTGACTTTATATTTTTGTCTTGTTTACTGCGATAAACAGACTCTAAAACTTCAGCGCGGCCCTTAATAAAAGTCATGAAATCATCTAGGCTAGGCATATCCGAAGCATTAACATTAGCTTGAATGTGCTCCTCCCATTTAACACGCGTGTTGCTGTCTAATTTCGCTGAAACTATGAATATGATCAGGGTATCCCAATGATCAGTTGGCTGTTTTAAAGTATTTAAAGCACGTAGGTTTTTTGTGACGTGGTCTACGAAATAGAAATTCTAGTCTAGAAAATAGAAATCTTGATGACTTGTCAGACTCACGCAACGGCTCAATATTAAACAAAGACTTCAAATGATTATTTATTAATTGACGAATATTATTAAAACGCTCACAAAGAAGACTCCATGCCTCAGGATAATTATTGTCGCAAACTTCTAAATTACATATTACACGAGCAGCTTCACCTTCTAGATAGGAATTTAAATAATGAAATTTGTGTATATTTTTTATTTTTGTATTATTATGTATCAGAGAACTGAACGTATCACGAAATTCCAACCATTTGTTGAACGTACCATCAAACTTATTAATTTTAATGACTGGTAAACGAAAGCCGATAACTTCGTGATCATCTTCATCAGCTGTGTAAATACTGCTATGCTGAAGCGACGACTTTTTTGTCGTACTGCTTACGGAAATAATTTCCTGAGCCAATGCGATCGAATTGTGGAAAGCTTGTTCGATAACTTCTCTGGTATCCAATTCTAAGCTTAAATTATTTTCCTCCAATGCTTCAATCTGATTTTGCACGCTATCGAATTCGCCAAATAAAGTCTCAAGTTTAACTAATCGCTGCGATAGCACGCTAACTTCCGTAGGAGTAAGCTTTTTACCTTTTAATTCTTCTAAATGGTTATTAAATTTCGTAACACGGCCTCAAATTGAAGCGCGTTTTAAATTAAGAGTTTTGTACTTTGCCTCCATACTAGCAAAGTTAACGCGCAGACAATCAAAACAACTAGTTATGCGCTGTACTAATCAAATAAATAATAATTGCATACAATACGTTCCTCGCTTCGTGGCCGCTGTGACGGAAACCGGTTCAAAATCAGCAGAAGCGCGGTGAAAGGTGGGATTGATGACGCGCGATGCCCGCGGTCCAGTACCACGACGTGAGCCCGCAGTGCTGGCAGTGACACGGGATGCGATGATAGTCTCGAGCGACCGCTGCACCGTAGCTGAAATTGATTGTTGGAATGCTTTGCAGATATCTCCGTACATAAAATAATAACGGGAAGCAAGGTTGATCGTAAATTTAATTGATTTGTGCAAATAATGGTTTAATTAGCGTAATATAGGGCTTAGCGAATGATTATGCTATAGTGATGACTAATTTATTTGCGTGCATAAACAGATAACAGTGAATAGCGAGAAGTGAATTTACTTGCATTGAGGAGTTAAGCTCAAATTTTTGCGTAGCTATGTACATATGTATGCTTACGTTTAAAGAAATAGGTTCAGCTATTTAAATTCTAACTATTTAACAGTGGCTACCAACTAATTAAATGCTAGTGAAGACTTTCAAGTCGTAAAATAGGCGCAATGAATGCAAATTATAGGCGGCTTGAAAAATAGCACTGATTACCTAGCAAATGATACGGCTAAATAATAGTAAGAAATGATAGACAATTAGCTGATAGGTAAGCAAATAGGTGTAAATAGGTGATTTTAACTCGTTAGGTATGTAAATTGTCGGTAGGTTTATCTAGGTAATTCTTTTAGGATTGTTTTAATAGGTATTTTATTTGGTAGGATTATTGAGTAGGAATAGTTTATTTAGATTAGCAGTTTTATATACGAAAGGGTATAAGATAGACAAGGAATATAAAGGATGTTGCTTAAGAATAGGTAGGTAGGGTAAGGCAACAAAAATAGGACTAGATTCCTTGTTTCCCTGTTCACACAAATAGAATTTTTAGGAATAGTGGGACACGAAGAGGTAAAATAATAGGAACGGGCTCACTTTTAGTTGGCAAAAACCGCTGCTGTGGCGCGAAGACTCCGCTGGACCTCAGCTTGGCCGGTTCTCAATAGCTGTCCTCTTGTCTTCTCTCCGCTCCAGATGAATTCTTCTTGACCGCTTTGTTGTTCTTAGGACTCGGGATGGTACGCCAATTTAATAATCTTCTTAGCTGATGTAGTAGATCGGCGTGGCTTCCTTTGTTCTCGTAGCTCGTAGTACTTGCGTTCGCGACGTTGTAAACGCGGGGTAAGTGCTACGACCTTTGGACCGTATTACGCGGCGAAATCGGAATACGATATTTTAATTTATCACGGTCGCCACTATGTTCAATTAGGGAACATGAATAAAATAGGCGACTCACACGATAGGCAAATTGTATATTTAAAAGGAATGAAAAATACAAAATATTTGGTGGCGATCGGGTCGCGAGCTATCGGCGAGTGCCGGTCTTAGGCGTGGTGGTGAGAAACCCCCCGCACTTCACATACTCCCCGCAAACACCGTCGGTGCTGTCGTAACGGCGCCGACATACTCCCGGCGCTGGAAAGCTTAACAGCTTTCAAGATCTTCCAACTCATCGGGCTTCGGTAGTAGGACGATTCTGTTTAGGGCGCGCCGCACAATTCCTCTTGCAGTGTCTATATCTGCGACGCGTGTCAATCCGTCAGATCCCGGGAAGAGTTTTCTTACACGTCCGAGACGCCAATAGAGCGGTGGAGCGTTTTCCTCTTTCAAGAGGACTAGGTCGTCAATTTGTAGGCTCTCTTTGGACTTCGTGCGCCACTTCGTCCTCAACTGCAGCTCCGCAATGTACTCGTGGCTCCAGCGTCGCCAAAAGTGTTGCTTAAACTGCTCGATGCGCTGGAATCTGTCGAGACGATTGGCATTAGTGGATTGTAGACACGGAGATGGCAGCGAGCTTAGTGGTCTACCAATTAAAAAGTGGCCCGGAGTTAAGGGATAATAGTCCGTGGGAGAGGAACTTAATGGACATAGGGGGCGGCTATTTAGGATACATTCTATTTGTGTGAACAAAGATGACAATTCCTCATAGGTTAGGTGCGTAGTCCCTAATATCCTAGCCAGGTGGAATTTGGCTGACTTTACACCGGCCTCCATCAAACCATTGAAGTGAGGAGCGTATGCAGGCGAAAAACAAAACTCAACGCCTTCGTTAGCGGCAAAATTAGCGATAGTTTTCGCATTAACTTCAAAAAACTCTTTAAGTTCCTTTGAAGCAGCTACAAAGTTTCCACCATTGTCGCAGAATATCTGCTTTGGTAGCCCTCTCCGTGAAACAAAGCGTCTCAATGTTAATATAAAAGCATCCTTGGACAGCTCACTAACAGCCTCCAAATGGATGCACTTATACCTAAAACATATGAAAATACACAAATAACATTTTGTAATTTTACAACCACGACCTTTGCGATCCGTGACCATAAATGGCCCAGCAAAATCAGTCCCTACTGTAATAAAAGGAAAGTCGGGCATTAGTCTTTGAGCAGGTAGGTTGCCCATTATGTTTTTTATAGACTGACCCTTAAAACGCCTACATACGGTGCAATTATGCACAGTACGTCTAGCCAGACTTCTTCCACTAATGGGCCAAAAACGCGTTCTAATAGAAGCCAGTAAGGCTTGGGGCCCCAGATGTAGAAGCCGTACGTGTTCTTGTTGGAATAAAAGTTGAGTAAAATGGTGTTTAGAGCTTAACAACATGGGATGCTTCATATCGAAACTATATTCAGAAGCCTGAATTCGACCATCTACTCTTATCACTCCTTCATGTAAAAATGGATTAAGTGCCGAAATGTGCGACTTAGGACTTAGGGAATTTCCTTTTAATAATAAGTCGTATTCTTTAGGGAATGCCTCTAATTGGGAAATATACACTAATGAATTAAGAGTTTTATTGAGCTCGGCGGTAGTTAAGGAACCTGTAATTTTAGTTTTAGAATTTTTACAGTTATTAATAAATCTATGTACATAGGCTAAAATGTGTTGTAATTGTTTTAATTTAGAATATTTGTTAAAGTTAATAATTGATTGATAATTATCACAAATAGCAACTGGATGTGCTTTAACTTCCGGCAAATTCTTCATCTCAATAATAGTCTGCGACTGCATAGAAGGTCACTCGGACTCCGGCAACCATAAAAACTTAGGTCCATACCACCACATATCACATGCAGCGATCTGTTGTGGGTTCACGCCACGGGATAGCAGGTCAGCTGGGTTGTGTTCTGTAGGAACGTGGTGCCATGAATTTGCGTCAGTCAGCTCTCTAATGGCGGCGACTCTGTTGGCAACGAATGCTTTCAAGTTAGAAGAACCGCAGCGCAACCAACTAAGAACTACGCTCGAGTCAGTCCAATAGACATGACGCGATATTTTACGTCGCAAGGCTTTGGTCAAAGACGAGCTCATTTCAGCTGCCAGAAGAGCACCTGAAAGCTCCAAACGAGGAATTGTAATAGGGCTGGATGCTGGGGCAACGCGAGATTTCGCACATAAAAGTTGGACATGTATTTGTCCTTCTTTATTTGTAGAGCGAAGGTACAAGCATGCACCATAGGCGCGTTGCGATGCATCGCAAAAACAGTGGATTTCAGCAGAGACTAGATATTCTATTGATACCCATCTAGGTATATTTAGTGAAAAAAGGCATTTAAGTCCATCAACAAAAGGTCTCCAGACATCGACAATATCCTTTGGAGCGGGCTCATCCCAGTCCAATTTGAGAGACCATAAGGTCTGAATTAAAATTTTGGGAACGATAGTGGACAAGGATAGGAGGCCCAAGGGATCGAAGATCTTGAAAGTTGAAGAAAGTATAGTGCGCTTGGTGACGACGTCAGACTGATCCACTGTAATGGGAAAATTAATGCTGTCGGTCGAAGGACTCCAATCTAGGCCCAGCGTATTTGTAGACTGACTCAATGTCAGGTTGCCGGATGACTGGACAACGTCTGAAGGCAGTAAAGAAGGTAAGTTGGATCGGTACTTACGCAAGTCAAAACCAGCCATAGAAAGAGCCACATGTGTTGATTTCTGTATAGACCGTAATTGATCTTCATCATCGCTAGAAGTTAGTAAGTCATCAACATATATGTCCTCCTGTATGACTGCCTTAATAACGTCATCGTCACACTCCTCGCCCACTTGCCAGAGGCACCTGGTGGCAAGGAAACTAGCGCTAGCAAATCCGTAGGTAACCGTGTTAAGCCTGAGTGTTTGTAATGGTTTGTCCTCCGCATCACGCCATAAAATCAGCTGTAGGTTTCGGTCAGACTCATCTATTAAAACCTGCCGGTACATTTTTTCAATATCCGCTGACAACACATAACGATATTGCCGGAACCGGATGAGGATATTGAAAAGAGAGTCTTGAACTGTAGGGCCTATCATTTGAATGTCGTTTATAGACAAACCAGATGAAGTGCGAGCTGATGCGTCAAAAACGACGCGTAGACGTGTTGACTCACTGTCTTCACGAATGACAGGATGATGCGGAACAAAATAGGCAAGCTCAGGTCGGTCTACCTCAGATATTGCTAGATGTCCTAGTTTGCGATACTCCTCAATGAAATCAACATAGGCGGACTTAAGTTCCGGTTGCTTGCGAAAGCGACGTTCCAGGTTTATAAATCGCCGCCTGGCTATGAAATAGGAAGTGCCTAGGCAGTCTGGTTTATCGATGAATGGCAGCTTGACACAAAAACGACCTTCTTCAGTGCGTTTTGTGTGCTGTAAAAAATGTTGTTCGCAAGCTTTCTCTTGGTCTGTAAGAAGGGGCCTTTGTGGCAAGCTTTCAAGCTCCCAAAACCTCTTCAAATCATTGTGAAGCTCAACTAAAGTATTGTTGCTTTCAATACTTACAAAATTACATTTCACTGGGGAATTTAAATTGAGATTGTCATTTTGAATATAGTGCATGGGACCTGCGATAAGCCATCCTAATTTAGACTCATGTAGAATAGGATTTCCTTTGCCTAAAGAGTGCTGTTTGGTTCCAATAATGGACCAAAATAGGTCAGCACCGATGAGCAGTCCTATGTCAGACGGCTCATAAAAGCTGGGGTCTGCTAATGCAAAGGACTTCAGGTTAAGGTGTGTAATAGACACAAGAGACTTAGGTATCTTACCTGATATTTGGGGTATGACTAAACATGACGTCATAACGCTGAAAGAACCTACCTTTGAATGAATTCGAACATTGCAACGTTCAGCATTAAGCTTGACAATAGTGTTACATATGCCGACCACATTCCTAACATCAGACGTGGAAGAAGTTAAATTTAACTTTGATTTAAGTGATTCTGTAATAAAGCTAGACTGACTACCGTTGTCTAAGAGAGCTTTAGTGGTAATGTAATTGATTGTTTTGGGATTAAAAATATCAACCAAAGCCGTACATAGTAGTGTCTCAGAAGCAGAAACAGCTGACATTGAAACTGGCTCAGAGACTGCAACATTAGTGACTGCCACATTGGTATCAGAATCCGTAGGTTTGTGTAAAAAGGTATTGTGACGTTTTTTGCATATCTTGCACGTACCTGGAAGCTTGCATGCGCGCGTATTATGCCCTTTGCGCAAACAGTTGGGACACAACTTTAGCTCGGACACTAATGAAAGTCTATCATCAATAGATTTCGATTGAAATTGTGAGCACTCATAATTACGATGACCTTGACCACAGAAAATACACTTGTGAGGGGCAGTTGCTGATGAGTCGCCCTGCTCAGCGCTAACGAATGACTTAGTATGAGAAACGGGATTTTGTTTGACGCCTTGATTGTGATTCGGGTTTGACTTTATATTTTTGTCTTGTTTACTGCGATAAACAGACTCTAAAACTTCAGCGCGGCCCTTAATAAAAGTCATGAAATCATCTAGGCTAGGCATATCCGAAGCATTAACATTAGCTTGAATGTGCTCCTCCCATTTAACACGCGTGTTGCTGTCTAATTTCGCTGAAACTATGAATATGATCAGGGTATCCCAATGATCAGTTGGCTGTTTTAAAGTATTTAAAGCACGTAGGTTTTTTGTGACGTGGTCTACGAAATAGAAATTCTAGTCTAGAAAATAGAAATCTTGATGACTTGTCAGACTCACGCAACGGCTCAATATTAAACAAAGACTTCAAATGATTATTTATTAATTGACGAATATTATTAAAACGCTCACAAAGAAGACTCCATGCCTCAGGATAATTATTGTCGCAAACTTCTAAATTACATATTACACGAGCAGCTTCACCTTCTAGATAGGAATTTAAATAATGAAATTTGTGTATATTTTTTATTTTTGTATTATTATGTATCAGAGAACTGAACGTATCACGAAATTCCAACCATTTGTTGAACGTACCATCAAACTTATTAATTTTAATGACTGGTAAACGAAAGCCGATAACTTCGTGATCATCTTCATCAGCTGTGTAAATACTGCTATGCTGAAGCGACGACTTTTTTGTCGTACTGCTTACGGAAATAATTTCCTGAGCCAATGCGATCGAATTGTGGAAAGCTTGTTCGATAACTTCTCTGGTATCCAATTCTAAGCTTAAATTATTTTCCTCCAATGCTTCAATCTGATTTTGCACGCTATCGAATTCGCCAAATAAAGTCTCAAGTTTAACTAATCGCTGCGATAGCACGCTAACTTCCGTAGGAGTAAGCTTTTTACCTTTTAATTCTTCTAAATGGTTATTAAATTTCGTAACACGGCCTCAAATTGAAGCGCGTTTTAAATTAAGAGTTTTGTACTTTGCCTCCATACTAGCAAAGTTAACGCGCAGACAATCAAAACAACTAGTTATGCGCTGTACTAATCAAATAAATAATAATTGCATACAATACGTTCCTCGCTTCGTGGCCGCTGTGACGGAAACCGGTTCAAAATCAGCAGAAGCGCGGTGAAAGGTGGGATTGATGACGCGCGACGCCCGCGGTCCAGTACCACGACGTGAGCCCGCAGTGCTGGCAGTGACACGGGATGCGATGATAGTCTCGAGCGACCGCTGCACCGTAGCTGAAATTGATTGTTGGAATGCTTTGCAGATATCTCCGTACATAAAATAATAACGGGAAGCAAGGTTGATCGTAAATTTAATTGATTTGTGCAAATAATGGTTTAATTAGCGTAATATAGGGCTTAGCGAATGATTATGCTATAGTGATGACTAATTTATTTGCGTGCATAAACAGATAACAGTGAATAGCGAGAAGTGAATTTACTTGCATTGAGGAGTTAAGCTCAAATTTTTGCGTAGCTATGTACATATGTATGCTTACGTTTAAAGAAATAGGTTCAGCTATTTAAATTCTAACTATTTAACAGTGGCTACCAACTAATTAAATGCTAGTGAAGACTTTCAAGTCGTAAAATAGGCGCAATGAATGCAAATTATAGGCGGCTTGAAAAATAGCACTGATTACCTAGCAAATGATACGGCTAAATAATAGTAAGAAATGATAGACAATTAGCTGATAGGTAAGCAAATAGGTGTAAATAGGTGATTTTAACTCGTTAGGTATGTAAATTGTCGGTAGGTTTATCTAGGTAATTCTTTTAGGATTGTTTTAATAGGTATTTTATTTGGTAGGATTATTGAGTAGGAATAGTTTATTTAGATTAGCAGTTTTATATACGAAAGGGTATAAGATAGACAAGGAATATAAAGGATGTTGCTTAAGAATAGGTAGGTAGGGTAAGGCAACAAAAAT